AAAAAAAAAATTCAATGCAGTTACACAAACACCTTAAGTTCAAAGAAGCACTTAAAGATTATCAAAGTCCAACAAAAGACCACCACAAAACTTAGCAAAAATGCTATAAATTGTTATAGACCTGTCGTACAACACTGTGAACAGCAAACAGGTGCTAATGAAGATCACAAGTGGGAGATTTTTCTTGGTCTGTGTTTACAGAAACTTGAGAAAAATCTCAGGAAACACCTAAACGCGAGGCTCTGCCGGGCAGCAGCGGGGTGAGGAGGCAGGGGTGATTCAGTGGCGGAGACAGTGCAAGGGTCTCCGATGAGCATTGAACCCCCCAAGGTAATACAGCCAAGCCGTTCTCTCGAGGACAGCTGCTCCACACGAGAGCCAAAACGAGAGTCCCCTGGCAAACTGAACCAACGGCAGTTCTGTCCAGGTCCAAGGGAACCAGGGACCCCCAGCCCAGGACTCTGTCCCCTCACAGCTCCCCAGGCATGCTGAGCCGCCCTATGTCTAAGTGACCAGGCCAACAAGGTGGGTGGCAGAAGGGGCCTGGGCCCAAAGCCAACGCCCAACACAGACACTCGCGCCACAACTTGGGTCCATTCCCTCAACGGCTGGCTGGCACTTGGTATGTAATTGTGCAATTCAAAGCGTGAAATTAAAACCACTCTGGAAAAAGTGACAACGAAGAGCTCTGTTGTCTCAGAGACCCAAGAGCCACAGGGAGCTCTGGTGCCCCAGCCCGGCCCAGTCTCTTCCTTCTCTAGGTGCAGCAAGCAGCCGTGGCCTCGCTGCTTCCTCCACCCTCGGGCACCCTCACGCGAACCAGAACACCTGAAATCCTGAGGCAAGATAAGTCTTTTCCCTCTTCAGTTGCTTTGCAAAAAAAAATTAGTTACAGCAACACAAAGCTAATGTCTTCCTGTCTCAAGCTTTTGCTACCTTTTCTCTGCTTTCAGAAATTATCAACCTAATGTCCAAATGTGAAAATTTACAGGGTAAAGTGTTCTCCACTGCAGTGCTGCATGGGTACAAAGGAAAACACTTCAGCTTTACAAACGCAGGAACAGTGTCTGAAGATTTACTAACAGCCACATACAGTGGTACACACCTCTCATCCCAGCACTCAGGAGCCTAAAGCAGGAGGATTGCGGGGCGCTCAAGGCTAGCCTGGGCTACACAGAGAGTTCAAGCCAGCCTAAACTATACAGTAATACCCTGTCTCGGAAACAAAAGTAAAATTAAACTAGCTATCTGCCCCAAATTATTTTCCCATTCATATTTTCATAACTTGTTGAATTCATAGATTTTTATAACATCTTAGACAGTAGTCTCATAATCAGATATTATGTAACTGTTACATATTTACTCAAAAGTAGTTGGGAGAGGCTTGTTTTTGTTTACTTTTACTGGTACATGTTTGCCACAACTAATGATTGCTTTCCTTGTAGGCTTTCCTGTTTGATCCATCGGGCTCCTGGAGGCTAGATCCAGCTAGGGCAACACTTTTTAGATGTGCAGCCTGGCCACAGGACACCCATGCTCCGGCCACCCATGTCCTGGGCCCCCGCACACCAGCCAGGCCCTCCCTAGGTCAGGGCCAGGGCTCCGCACCCAGCTCCAGCTACTCTTCCTTGTGATTCCCACTGTACTGTGCTACACAGACCTCAGGTGCTGGCACCAAGCATGCGCTCTTAGCAAGGTCTCTCTCCAGCCTGCGTCTGCAATGCCCGCATTCTCCTGTCTGTCCAACTCCCTCCCCTTGCAGATGTATAGATCACATTTGTTTCAACAGCAAGAGCCACATAAGGACTATTTTTGTTAGAAAACTCTGGCAACTATGTACAAAAAAAGGCCTTTGGGCAATTAGGGAACACGTCACTTCACTAAATCAATCTTGTGAGAAGTGGAAGGGTCACTTATATGATAAGACAGATTCTAGAAAAGTAGGACTAGCTATGATATAAACCTGAGGAGCCCTCCACAGATGAAGGTTTAACTATAATCTACCTTACCCCAAGAGAATCGACCTGCAAGCTAATACTTACAGGATACTTAGAAAGTAACAGGCAGTGTCCCAAATACAGTACGTATGGATTATTCACTCCTTGCAGCTCTAACTTCACAAGCGACACAGTACGGCACAGAACCACTACAAATGCGCCAGGAGCACAGGGCTATACACGGCAGAGCCCCCCCCCCCAGGCCTTCTCCTCTCCAGCCTTCTTCCCCAGCCGCCAAGAGATCCCGCCCGTCTGCCCCCACAGCCCCACGAGGCACCCCACAGCTGTGGGAGCTGACCCGAGAATGCTCCTTTTAGAGCACTGTGGTGCGAGCCCATGTTCCCACCGCAGGCCACCACACCATGCACTGGAAGGACAGTAGCTGCCGCTGCTCTGAGCGCCTTCCTGTACTCACTCTTGCAAAGCTCCCAACTGTGGGGCAGGCAGTACTACTGTCCCTAGCTTACAGACAAAGAAACCGAGGCGGAATGGCTACCATCTAGGCAGGTGTTGGTGAGCTGGGACTCCAACATGGACTATTGGTGCAGTCTGCTCCCTTCTCCCTGACTCTACACCACTACCCACGCCCAAGGGCACAGAGCCTGAAGCCGCTACCGTGGGGAAGTCCTCCAGCACTTGTCGGTGCTTGTCCTTGCTCTCCATGTACCGCCAGTCTGGGTCATACAGGAAGGTGTGAAAGCTCTGCAGCAGGGGGACCTTCTTCTCCACACTGATGGTCATGTCATCTTCCAGCGTGTCCAGAGCTCGGAGAACCAGGTAAAACACGCACACAGCATGGCTGCAAAAATGAAAAACTGCTTCCATTAGAGCAAGTAACTAAAGGATTTACTTTTAAATGACGTCTCATTTGTGCAGGCCATCTTCTAAAGCTGCCTACACTCCTGACTCTACAGACTATAAAAGGACAGCCAAGGTCTTATGCACTTGACAAAACCTACATCAGTTTTCCTTTCTTAAAGGAGATCACAAGAGTGTGTGGTTTGCAAACTACAAAACTAAAAATGCCACAGCTGCACACAGAATCACTTACAAATACTGTAGAACTGCGTGGATCAACAGGCAAAGTTTTAGAGTGAACTAAAGTTTTGCAAGTGAAATGTCAAAAATCGCAAATTCGCGCCATCTGCAGAGGCAGCTTCAAATTAGCCAACATGCCTGAAATCGTTGAAGCAGCTGAAGGGAAGCCACAGGGAGTGCCTGAGCTATAGCGGCTGGCTCAGCTGCCAAAACTAAAAAAAGGTTAATAAACACCCCACCCCCACGACTCCAGTGAAAGAGCAAGCCTGCAGGGACACTACCAGGTGGCCAGGAGCCTGGAAGGGCACTGGGAAGTAAACACAGGGCCAGGCGCTCCACCCCCACGCCATTTCCCTGGCCCAGCAAGGCCCCTCCACTCACCGAATGTCCCCATCCAGCGCCTGGATGACAGCTGCAAAACTGCGGCTGGTCTGGTTCAGGTACTTGTAGCAAGTTTTCATGCTGCTGGTGAGCGAGTCCTGTGGGCAAAGACACACGGCAGTGGGCGACGTGGAGGAGCAGGAGTGGGCGTGGGCGTGGGGCTGAGGCAGGCGGCCAGCCGGACTCCGCAGCCGAGACCAGTCCTTGCAGGGCCAGGCGGCGGCGGGGGACCAGGGGCTGCCCCGCTGGGGGCCGCCTGAGCCAGAGCCCCTGGGAGCGGTGGCAGGGCTCAGCACTAAGGTACGCTTGAAGAGGGACATGGCCTTGAAGCTGCAGGCGGCCGCGGCCATGGAAACCGTGGATCTACAGGGGTCTCTCCTCCATGGACCCCAGCAGGCTGGGAGGCGCCCGTGATGGGCGTTGCGGACGCTCCCCGCAGCACTGAGCCTCGCAGTGCAGGCCGCGCCCCGCCCAACCCGGAGCCCCGCCCCGCCCGGAGGCCCCGCCCTGCCCGGAGGCCCCGCCCCGCCCGGAGGCCTCGCCCCTATCCACCCCCCCCTCCCGCGCGCTGTTGAGAGGGGCTGAGAGGTGCGCTCTTCTCCCTGCAGGTCTCTCTCCGGACTGACGCTCTTCCCAACTAGGCCTAGACTCCAGTTTTACACGTCTTTCCGCGTCGCCCCTCTTTAGCTAGAACCCTTATCTAGTGCATCTGACTGCTCGGGCCGCAGGCCATCCCACCCCACTCGGTCCTGTCCCCCAGCCCTGAACCTCAAAGCTTCTCCCCCGCTGGCGGGGTGGGGCCCAGCACTGGAGGAGGTCGTTCCTCGGCCTGGGCATTTCTGACACCCGTTAGCTCCTCTACCTGCAGCTTCTCTGCCTCACTCTTTCCGGGGAGAAAGGAAGGACCCGACGATTTACTGTGCAGCTGTGTGATCTCTTGGGCAGTTGAGGTTCACAGAGTAGCTGAGCAAAAAGTACATTTACGAATCAATACACACACACACACACACACACACACACACACACACTATGGACCCTGGACCCCGGTGGGTTCCAGGTGAACTCTGTTCGGTTTTATGCATATTTGCTAATGTCCTTACATGGATACACATGCCTAAAGAGTTTTATCCTAAATCACATAATCCCAAGAATTTAATATTCATTTCCAATAATTATTTGTGAAAGCTAATATCTACTTGTCCTCTATGTGAATAGCATCTGGCACATAAAAATATCCAGTAAGAGACTTGAGGAATAAGTGTATCTATTCACAGACTATTTAAAAACAATTAACCAATGTCTTCCTTCCAAAACTGTGGAGAGGCCATGACTTCACAGGAAAGAAAAGAAATCCAACAACAGCTTTTCATGGAGTCAAAGGCTGGGCTCTGGACAGCCCCTACTTCAGTGCTGGTGTCTCCACCTCCACCTGCAGTTCCAACCAAGAGCATGTGTGTGCTGGCTGTACTGGAGATGGAACTCAGCACTGTACTGTACCCTCTTGCCCAGCCTCCAGGTAACCGGGATCCCAGGTGTGCACCATCACACCCAGCCTAACCAGGTGCAGCAAAGGCCAAATGGAACACACATGCTACTTCTAATCCTTAGTAAAGGTATTACAGACACAATCTACAGAAACCTTCTTGGCTAGACCTGCAGCAAAAATCAAACTTTTTAGTTGTAGAGGACAGGCAATAAAGCGCACTTATAGCCCTGTTGGGGTGCAGCGCACCATACCCCATAATCGGCTACTGTGTTCGTATTTCTTAAAAATATTTGCATAGTTTATATAAAGTGGGATAAATGAAGTCTCAGTTCCTGTTAAAGTCAGGTTTGTGGCCCAATGACTTTAAGCCTTTCTTAAGAGAATACTATTGGGCTGGGGAGATGGTTCAGTGGAGTAAGTGTTTCCCTGGCAAGTGCAAGGGCCTGAGTTCAATCCCCAGTTCTGCCAAAAAAAAAAAAAAAGAAAGAAAACAGTATTGCTTTCCAGACAGACACTGGAAACCTGCGGCTGAGGCAAGCTACTAAAGGGTTGGCTAATTACTAATATCGGGTCAGGAATTAGAGTTAAGCAGAAACTGAAAATAGTAGTCTCAACAGTAGGTTTTAGACTTGATAAAAACAGATCTTTCTAATTATAAAAGCCTACTTATTACCTTCCATGGCCACTGAATAATGTCACACAACTTGGATGTGGCAGAACGTCCCTAACTGACCGATAACTCTCCAGAAAGTCAGTGTAAGTAACATTTGCTGAACCCTGAATTTCTATAGCCGAATTCTTTTGTGACTGAAATAATCGGCTCTCAGTATCTAAGTGGGCCAGCAAGATAGCTCAGCATACTAAGTGCCAGCTTAGGCAATTGCAGGGACCCTGGGATTCAATCCCTGGCATCATATGCTGCGCCAGCCCCGCTCCCAGGCACACTGAGCCAGGCACGAAGTCTGGGCATGGTGGCGCACACCTGTAATCCCAGCACTGGGAGGTTTGAAAACAGGAGGATCACTATGAACCTGAGTTGTGTAGTGAGACCCTGCACAAAATACACTTTAAAAAAAAAAAAAAAAACTAAAAATCTGCTAAGCACAAATTTTCCCTCCACTTTTTTTTTTTTTTTTTTTTTTTCAGAACCAGGGATTGAACTCAGACCCTTACACTTGCTAGGGAAGTGCTTATTCTACTGAGCCATCTCCCCAGCTCTTCCCTCCACTTTTTACTTGAAACTAAGACAGGTGTTACATAGAGGCAAATTTATTTTCCTAATAATCTCTTTTAAATAGGGTACCCTCAAACTAGGCTTCAAAATGGCTCACAGGTTTTTAAAGGACTCAAAGGTCTGCAACTAACAAAACTAATACTGTTTTACCACACTGATCCTGAAATCCCAGAGCTAGGAGAAAAAGCGCACGTCTCACCTTTGCAAGCAACAGTACTGTAAGGCCTCTCTCTCCCCTCCCATGAGCATCCACTTCCCTCCCACAGGAGCCAGTTCTGCTCATTGCCAAGGAACAACACAAAGAAATGGGCTCTTCCCTAAATCTCAACCCTGCAAATTAATCCTCCCCACCATTATTTTTGCCCTATTATTTTTTTATCATACTCATCTTGATCTGAAATGTTGCACTTTTGCTGTTTCCGTCTTCCACCATTTGTGAAGCCAGGCCTACGTGCAAGTGGTGATCAAATATTTGTGAGGGACGGAAAGGGAAGAAGGGAGGGAGCACAGTGCCACCTGCATGGAGAGGGGAAAGGGAGCAAGGAGTGGGTGTTGCGCCTCTGGGCCCCCGGATGCGCGCATCCGACAACACCTAAGCTCCTGCACTCACACAGGCTGCAAGTGGAAACCCACACCTGCCAGGGGTCTGCGGTCTCTCCATGTGTATAAGGGCAGTAATGTGTGCTCTCGTTCATGTCCCTGTCAAGATTGGCAAGTGTCATAAAAACGGTAAAAAGTGTGAGCGCCCTGCCCCCCCAGAAGGCAAAGTCTCCCACGGCTGCCTCCCATCTAGGCTCCCCTGTGATTCTGGGGGACAAAAGGACAGTAGCAAATACAACTCAGAGGTCTGAAAACTCATGACCTGGGGTCTGTGTCTTCTGCTGTCCCTGTGGAGGGTCCCTGGCCAGAGAACACGCAGCTCATTCCAAGAACTGTAAGCTAAACAAGGGCTGCCACTTCACGTACTACATTTGGTTTTTCAAAATCAGTGTAAAGGGGGGCCTGCCCCGTAGCTCAGTTCTTTAAGTGGCTGCTTCAACAAAGCAGTCAGGCTCCGGTTGCTTTGGTTCGATCCCCACAACACAAGACAGCCAGTCATGCCTTGAAGGCATTCTGGAAAAAAGAAAACACTTCTGCCATTTTGGGGGCCTGGCTCTAGCTCAGTTCTTTAAGTGGCTGCTTCCACAAAGCTGTCAGCCTCAGCTTTTTCTAGTTCGATCCCCACAACCCTCCAGCCAGCCAAAAGTGCCCTGAAGGCATTGGAGGAGCAAAAAAAAAAAAATCCTCAAAATCAGTGTAAAGACCGGGCATGGCGGCACACGACTGTAATCCCAGCACTCAGCAGGCTGAGGCAGGCGGATCACTGTAAGCGCAAGGCTAGCCTGGGCTAAACTGTGAGTTCAAGGCCAGCCTGAACTGCATAGTGAGACCCTGTCTCAAAAAAAGAAAAAAAAAAAATTGACCCCTTAGCCACAGTCAAAAGTTGAGTTGTATATATGAATACCTACATGTGGCATAACTGAACTCTAGAATTAAGTCAAAAGTTTTGGTGTGGCTGGTCATTAAAGCTGATACACTGAAATAACAGACTTGCAGAGCATAAACCAGCCCTGGCCGACGCACATGGAGCACTGTACCCCCGCTTGGTCACCCCACCTCCCAGCTGGAAGCTCTCCTGCTCACCTGCTGCCAAATGGTGTTCCAGAACTACTGCTCCCATCAGTCACCACTCCACGTGTGCCCGCGCGTGCATGTGCGCGCGCGGGTTGGAGAACTGAAGCCAGGGAGGCTCCATGCCTAGTCCTTTTCATTTTGAGACACGGTCTCTCTCAGTTGCCCAAGCTGGCCTCCAACTTGTGATGCTCCTACGAGTCGCTGGGGTTACAGGTGCCACTATGCACGGCTTCTGCTTCTAACCATCACTGAGCCCGGAAGGACTGCGCTTGCTACTCTAAGTGACCACCCTCTTTCCTGCCAAGCTGGCAGCCTTCTCACTCCATGGACCCAGCCTATCAGTGTGGATTTTAGCTTCTCGCCATTAATACAAATCCAATGCTGTCCGAAAGGTCCTGCACCTCACAACCTACTTTTCCCACCATTTCTGAACAGCCTTCTTCTGAAACAATCACACCAACTAAAATGGTCCTGTCCTCCATTAGGCCGCAAGCATGTCTGGGGCACTTCCTGCTGTGCGGCCTGCACACACAGCACCGCTGCCGCCGCCACCACCGACAGTGCCTCCCCAAGGGTCAAAGGTCAAATGCTGCTTGGCCACTGAACAGCAACTGCATCTTAGGCAATTAACTACCCTCAGAGTCTATATCCACATCCACAAAATAGCAAGAATGCAGCTTCCTCAAAGGGTTGCTAGATGCTTAGGTAGATGGCAGGTGTTTAAAATCAATATCGAGGGCTGGTGAGATGGCTCAGTGGTCTAAAGCACCTACTTAGAACAAGCTT